GCCAACAACCTTAACATGAGACTGCTCTCGCGGTCTCCTGAGATCAGAGGGTGACTCAATGCCAATCGGGTCGTCAGGGAGCAGTCTTGCCCTGGATGACGGTTGGGAGAAGTGTGATTCTCTTTCCCTACGGATATCGCGCTCTTCGCTATCGATCTTGACCCGTCGCGGGTAGTTCGGATCGATACTGCTACTCTTGCCTTGCTTCGGCGGCGAAGCGTTATCGTCGTGGCTCTCCATCTCTCTCAACATCCACTTAGGAATGCTATTGGCAAGCCATTCCCAGTCTTTGTTGCCCTTGCCACTCAACCTCTCGTTGCTGGCCCCGAAGATGGCCTCGTATGGATCATTCATGAGTTTCCTTCGCCATTGCTGGTACTGCTCTAGCTGCAACCATTCCAGGTTGGACATGCCGGATGGACGTTTGTTGCCATTGTTGTCTTCGTGTTGTGCTAACTTGGAGGGCGTGCGCGAGAAGCACCGCGTGCGAAGGGCCGCGTCGTCGGAGCGGAGGATGCGTTGCGCATAGCGTTGGAAAGGAGCGAGTGTCGGGTCCCGGCGCCACCAAGTCATGATGGAAGCCGTCAGGGGGATCGGAGGGAGAAGGGATGCAGGAGGTAGACTGAGAGTCTTAGCTCTGTGGCTTGTCAGAGATGGAGGATTACATGATTGCAAGTACAACATACCGTGATACCTATCGCAGGTCTGCTGTCCAAGGCACCGACAGCTCCTCGGAGCTGAGCCTAGGTGAACGGATAGTGGTTACATCAATAGCCGGCAAATGGCGCTGAGAGTAGTGGCGCACTCAAGGGACGAGAGCAATGCTGTCTAGAACGTGTGGACTGAAGAGAAGATCGAGAACAGCTAAAGGCGATGGAAGGCCAGGCAGCCTCCAGGGAGTGATGGCGTCGCCATATCCCCGCGTAAGCTCCGTGCCGCTTATCATGTTTCGCGGGGTACGTTCCCGCGTGATCGCTTGTTCGCGTCACCATTTCACTGGTCCCGGTCGTCCAGAACTGCCCACGCCACATGAGACGCTTTTCCTTTTTGCTGTAGATGGTATTGCTGATAGGGTCGTTGTGCGTAGCCTTCGGTTGATGGATATCAGTGAGGCTTGACGCGTACCAAGTCGCGTCACGACGCCGATAAGGCGATAAGGCAACAGCGCTACGCCCTATCGGATTTCATCTCTGGGGAACCTTTCACTCTCAGTACCAAAATCGCGATGGCAACTTTCATTCAATACTCACGATCCTCAATTGCAACGCTGACCACAGGTTGTCAATGAATGTATCGTTCCGAACAATCTATCTACAGGTTTCAAGATCGGCGCGCATTCATCATCCCTGTCTCGGCGTGGCACCCAATGTACTCGAAGAATTGCTGGTCCGGCTCCAGCACGTAAACCTCATGAAATAGCCGGAGAGACAATACATTGTTCAACTTTTTCGCATACATCAGGAAGCCTCCGAAGATGTTGATATGCGTCTGGTGGCTTTTACTCCAGTATTCAAGCGACGCCAGGTCATCGAAATAGCCCAAACCGAACGTTCTTTCACTGTTCGCCTCGAACGAGTTTGAATCCACAACATCCCACAAGTTCATCGCGTAACATCCAACCTCGCGCCCTTCATCACGTAGAAACTTCATCCCCTCGACGAGCACCGGATGCATTGTATCGAGGTAGAGTTTGCGCTCTCCTGGTAGCGTGTCGGACCAATCCTGGCCCGATCGAATCACGCACAGATTGGGCCTGCCGGATATACGGACGCGTTTTGAGGAATCTGCATCATCACTCGAGCCATTTGCGGTGCCATCCTTAGAGCACCATCTATCGCCCTCGAGCTTGTTGTCTTGAGCAGCGGCTAAGCGATCCCGCATGCTACCCCAATACGCGTGTTGTTCCAACTCGCCTGAGATCCTCTCTTGCATGTTGGCCGCTCCTTCTGGATTCTCAGGGTTTGAGAACACTGTTTCAAAACGATCCATCGTTGGACACAGAATCTCCTGGAACCACCCATGCCCATCTTTTTCCCTGTCTGAACTCTGCCACCAAGTATCGAACCCAGATTCCTCCTGCCAGCTGCTGTGCAAGTCTGCGCTGCGCCAATATGCGATCACGGCGATGCTATAGGCACCTCTCTTGTCGATTACGGAGGTTGTTTCCCAAAACGACGGGCGCTTTGACTGTGGCCCTCTACTCACGAACTCCTGAAGTTTGGTAACGGCTATGCCGTCGTTCCCGGTAACAGAGTCGTACTGCGCTCCCATCATGGCCATGACGAGATCATTCATTGTAGCCTGGAATCTGGAGCAATATCCAGGGAACGGCGGAATGTAGTTGGACGGCGTGCTAACTGGGCATGTTCTCTCCCTGCGATGGTGCTCTGGAATTGCGTCCTCTGGCATCTTCAAGACTTATTCGAGAAGTTATATCGGATCTGTGGGAAAAAGATCCGTCGCACTCCTCGTGCCTGGGCGCTGTGTTATGAGAGGAGAAGCCACAGGGCACCGTCTATCGAGTCTTAGCTAAGGGCAAGTCTTGTCTGCCCGCTCCTCGCAGTCCCGTACAACCCCGTACAACGGCACGGGACGCTGTGCAGCAAGGGCCTCGGTTCACATGTGTCTAGGTGGGGCACTGGACAAGGGTCGGACCTCGCGCTAGGCCTTAGACCTGGAGTCTGGATGTGCTCCCGGCATCAATTTTCTTTTGTGCCCAGAGAAGCCACTGTACTGACAGTGACGTAGTATTTGCGCATATGCGCTTCTGCAGCACTCTCATCTGGGAATTTGCGAAGCTGGGTACGAGTTCAAGATCCACATGTGACACAACCCTATCTGCGTGTGCCGCGCGCCGCCAAGGCATGGGCCGCCAGGTACGGCTGAAGGCTGTATGTCAGCCAGGCTCTTTTCCAGTCTCGTGTCCAACTACATCTTATTACCTTCGGACAAGATCGTAAAATGTCAAAAAGCAATTCAACAACCAATTGCGCGACGTTGCGATAGGAATCGGGCCGTTAGATCTTCACAGCGATCTTGGTAGCCAGCACCCCGAGATCACCAAACTACCACAAGGATGATCATTCGAGGAACTGCGGCAACTTATCGCGCCCGGCGGGTTTCTCATCCGAAAAGGCACCCACCCCAATCGCTTTGCACCGTCATGGGTCACCTGCGCCCGATTGAAAACCTCCACTCTCGTCGTGTATCGTATAGCTTTCCTTTTTCGGGCATTCCTTTTTACAATGATACTCAATGTTAAGGGCCTTGCTGCTCGGCGTACCCTGATCTCGCGCGAGAGGGCCCTCAACTGTCGATGCTTGTCTCGCCAGCATGTCTAATCCCTTCACGACTGAAGCATGGACCGAATACGCAATTGGTATTGTCGTTATAATACTTCGAATTACAGCGCGCTGCTGGCAGATCCAACTACGTTGGGATGGAGATGATTACTTCGCCGTACTCTGCGCCTTCTTCTTCACCGCTGAACTTGTCATGCTGGAGCTCATCGGCCAGAATGGCTCCATCACTGGAATGAGTAACGAACTCGCGTTGCAACTTACACCCGAGGAAAGCCAACGTGTTACTGTGGGTAGTAAATACCTTCTCGCAGGGTGGATACTATATACGACCCTGATATGGTGCTGTACGTAAATGCTTTGGTAACGGAGCACTCGAGGCCATGTGGTCATACTAATAGGCTGTTACCACAGTAAAAGCTTGTATGCTGTTCTTTTACAGGAGGCTCACGTATGTATACTTTACAAATTTAGATTGATCCCCGCTGATAGCAATAGGCTCAACCTCCAGCAACATAATCTCGTCAAGATTACTGGGGCAGTCTGCCTTGTAGCTTACATCGCTACTATCATCGTGTTCCTCACACACTGTCACCCTATCTATCGACTATGGCAAATATATCCATATCCAGGTGATGACTGCGCGCTCAACATATCCAAATATCTGGCGTTGGTCGTTACGAATGTAACGTGGGTAGCTCTAGAAATGAGCCTGTCCACTTCTGTACCATACTTACAATCATCCAGCACCGATCTCATGATCTTGTATATCCCGCTACCTCTACTCTGGAACGTCCGACTACCTTTGAGAAGGAAGCTTCTGTACGGAGTCTGGTTATGCACCGGTGTTTTCATGATGACAGCAACATTGCTCCGCTGCATCCTGTGTCTTCAAGACGTTTCCCAGATCAACGTTGGCACCATTTGGTCAATCCGCGAAACAGTGAGCCTCTCAAATTTTAAGGCCACTAGGACCTTGCTGATGTTTGCCATAGTTTGTCGGAATCTTAGCTGTCAACGCACCTATCCTCAAGCCCTTTCTCAGTAAAGCAAGGAAAGCTATGTCATCGGTCAAGCCATCAAACGACAATTCGGGCCAGAATTTGCCAGACAGCCTTCGTTTGTCGCATGTTGAGAGAAAGGGCAAAAGGAGGACTGTGCATGAGATCGACAACATAGACATAAGCATGAATGGAAGCGAAGAGCACATTGTGAGACAAGGAACAGACGAAGAAAGAGCGAGCAGTGATGTCAATTCGAGAGATGAGGGTGATGCGGTTTAAATTCGACATTGCGTGTAAAGCATGATCTAGCGCAATGAGTCATGAGCCTGTCAGTAGAAGCTGACGCTTGGTATAGGTACAGCGGCGACGCTGATCAGACTGCTGCGGATCTGTCTCGGTTATGGCACCAGTGTTGCCAGTAGAGTGGTCTATCATCAGATCACGTCTACTGCAACGTAACGCACCATGCGAGTGGTTCTGCCCTGATCATCATCATCGGTGTGAGAACAGGTGCCGCATCAGCCGCAAGACTACTTTCCAGCGTCGGTCGACAATGAAGCCCAATACAATCGGGTGATGAATACCCAATAGCAGGCCAGTTCTAGTGTTGTGAAGCATGGAGGTAGAATTTAGGTCACGTCATGCAAATGCATGTACATGATAATAATACACTCGCGCGTACCCAATATGCTTTAGCTCAATTCTCATCCTCCAACAGCCTCCTCTCTTCTTCGACAACTTCAGCTTTCTTATCATCCTTCCCACCCGACCTCTGCAGACTGACCGCAATCGCCGCTCCGATGATAAGCACGGCTCCCACCAAGCTCTCAGCAGGCGGCGTAGTTCCCCAGATCACCTTCTCGACAACAAGCGCGAAGACAAGTTGCAGATACGTCAAGTTTGTTGCTCTTCCACCTTTCTCCCTCTGCAGGCCTTCCGTCAAGAGAAATTGCAACAGAAACCCGAAGAGCCCAATAATGGCGATCAATCCCCACTGACCGAGCGTTTTGGGCATGACGAAATGTAACGAAGGGTGAACCAGGATGAGCACGAACGAGGCGATCGTTGCGATGAGAGAAAAGTAATTCACCGAGATGAGCGAGTGGGCGCGCTTGCCGATCACTCGGATAGTTGCGTAGGCTGTCGAAGCACCAAGCGTGCCTAGAATCGCGATGAGGATTGCCAGAGCGCGTTGTTCGGTGGTAGTTGATGGTAACGGTGCATGCCCGTCCGAGTCATCGGCTATTGGCCTTGAGTGCGAAGCGGGAAATAGCCATGGTGGTCTCGCGACGAAGAGAACGCCGCAGAATGCGACGAAGCTGCAAAGCGCTTCTTTCCAGGTGAATGGCTCGCGTAACCATAGGAAGCACACAATGGCTGTCATGGTTGGGATTAGGAAAGTTATTACTGTCGCGTCGGAGAATTCAAGCCATGACAGAGAGTCTAGGCGGTATTGTTAGCTGTATTCCAGTTCACTATCGTGACCCACCCCTGCAGGTCACAATCTTATATGGCGTGAGCCGTGAAGAATTGCAGAGGGAGTCAAACTTACAATACAGTCCAAATAGACCGACGAATCCTGCAGTACCTCTCAGTATGAGCAGCCCTTTGATGCCTTTCTGGCCGAAAGGAAAGTCAGGCACCGCATGGTACCAAGAGTAAATCGAGCAGATGATCGTCGTGCACAGCATGCGGATGAAGATGATTTGCAAAGCGTGAAACTCGATGGATGGGTCATTCGCGAGCAGTTTGGCTGCTGTGTTCATCTAGTGCTCATTTGTAAGTGCATGGTCTGCGGCATGCAGTCATTGCACACAAGAAACAAAACTTACGACAGAACCGCATGTCTGTGCCAAGAAAACTAAGAATAAACCGAAATTCTGCCTGTAGAATGACTTCAGACTCTGCGATATTTTGCTCCATATTCCTGGCGGATTGGCTTCCTCGTCCGTATCTTGCGCAGAGCCTGAAGCTGCAGATGGCAGGCGTGGCAAGAAGTTTACCCTTGAGCGCCCTGCGGACGGCGGTGGGTCGGCTATGGTGCCATAAGACATCTCGAACCTTTTGTCGAAATGTTCGCGATTGCAAAGTTGAAGTGGAAGGGCAGAAGCCGTAGCAATGCGGAGCAAAAACCCATGGTCCGGTGACCCACTAGTGGGTCTCTCATTCGGCGGTAGCCCGTGTCTAGCCTTGCTTACTTCAGCTAGAATCTTCTCACGCATGCCACAAGACTGCGAATGTAATACCGATCACAATATTGCCGACACGTTTTTAAGATTTTGAGAAGCAAGTGCAGTTGCAAGTAAATGTATGAATAGAAATGAAGACACTTATTGTTCCCAATATATGTACAAGAAAACCAACTCTCACGTACTACCGAACCTAGCCCGCATCTTTCTACAAGATTTTGGCCTAGGAAAAGTAAGCTGCATCAACCCAGCTCTTGTAGTCGCTGCCCAGAACAGTGGAAGGGCTAACGGCAGCCGAGAGCTTCTTTGAGAAGGACGCCCTGGTACCCTTGGATCCATCACCGGTGTTTGCGTACTCGGCATATGTGACCTTGTCAGTCCTGGGGTCATCGGTATTCCAAACTTTCCATCCCGCGGCATTGATGACATTAGTCATGCTAGTCTTCTGGAACACAACTCGAGAGAAATTCCTCCAAGGACGGCCGAGGTAGTAAGCACCCGCGCTCACCGTGTTACCAGGAGCAGCGGCGATCTTCGAGTTGTTGATGACATAGTATGAGGGATTGGAATCTGAATCGCGACCGTTGGCAGTAATGTAACCCACCGACGCTGTGAGAACGCCCAGAGAGCAACCATCAAACCATGCTATGGCCTTCTGGCCGAAGATGAAATCAGTCGCTCCTTCGATGTAGGATTTGGCATAGACCTGGCTACCCTGCTGGGCGAGGATGGTGTCTTGGTAACCCTTGAACTGGCATCCGTAGTAGCCTTGCTTATCAGCATAAGCACTAAGGGCGAGAGCTTGCGAGCCCTGTCCGCGTGTGTTGACCAGGTTGATGTTGTAGACCTTTAGGTTTGGTGTCCAGGCGCGGAGAGTAGCAGTTTCGTCGTTGTTGGGGGCGTCATCTTGACTTTTGCCCTGGGTGATGGTCACGGTGTTGCCGGTGTAACTGCTAGTGTCTGTCGTTTCGCCGTAAACCGTCAGAGCCGACTTGAGCGGCTTGATGTAGACTTGCTCCTTGTATGTGCCTGCAGAACCGGGAGCACCAAGTCAGTACATGTCTCACATGGAGTTGGTACAGCTAGAACTAACCCTTCGCGATGAAAATGCATTGTGCAGCCGTACTGGAAGCGCTCAAAGCATCAACGGCGGACTGAACAGTTTTGTACTTTCCGCTACCACCCACAGCCAGACATCCAGAAGGAGGACTTGTACGTCCAGCCCGAGGCGCCAGCGTCGTTGGAGCTGCGACAGCGGATGCCGCGAGCGTGAGCACGAAAGCGATTGATGGGAGCATTGTGGACAAAGTAGGACAGTTGAAAATGAAAGTATAAGAGTGAGTGAATGTAGAACTTAGCCTGAAGGCGCGCAGTATGCATATACATATAATAACTTCAGCATGCCGGCTAAGCAAACTATATTGGCGGACTCCCCGGGTCTGACCTAGACCTCCGAACAGCCGCTTAGTGAGCTACGGGGTCGTTTCCCCGCTATGAAAGCTGTCGAAACGGGCGAAGCAAGCCATCGGAAAATTGATGTATGCACCCCAGACGGTGAATCTCTCATCGCGCAACGACTGCGCATGTGCATTGCGCCGGTTGGTGGGAATCTTGTTGCCGTCCGTGCGTTGATTTGGGTTGATTGTAGCGTGTTACAGAGGGCTGACGGAGGCAGTATTGAGGTCCGAAGTGATGCCGCGTGCGCATCGCATTACTGATGGTGTTGAAGCTGACGCGTTGTTGGGCACGACGGACGCGCCTCCTTCTTGCAGGTCGAGGTTTGTGGGGAAGGATCCTGCGCAGGGCCGTGCGTTGATCACGTGAGCTGGTGTCGCGCTAAGAGGCCCGGGATCCACACGTTCCAAGCCCAGCAATTCATTCATTGTGCGACGCTGAGACCAATCTTCCGCAGACCGCGCTTTGACATCAGTTATTCACTTTGGGTGCTCTTGGTTATCAGTATCTGGTCATTCTTTCCCTCGCAATGGCTCCATCACACACAACTGGCAATAGCTGCCAAACAATCGACCTCACAGGTTCCTCACCAGAGCCGGAAGACATGCCCCAGCAACGACCACAACAGCGGCCACAGCCAAGGCCGCCCCAAAGACTAGTTCAAATGTACCTCAAGCCCGAGCCACGCCCCTACGGTATGGCAAATGTCGGGATGGAAGCTAGGCATCCGATGGCTTCCGCGCGAAACCCTGTAGGGCCACAGCAGGCGCGCCCTATCCACCCTGAGCATATCAAACAGATCATCGAGACAGCCGACCCGCGCGCTGTGCAAAAGGTGTTGCTCGACCTTTGCCAAATGTCACCGGCCTTTTCCGGCGCCCTCGTCCGTGGACTTGCGCCTCACTCTGCATCCGCCCAGAGCCTGATCAGCCAGCAACGGATGCAGTCGCATCAGCCCAAGGTCAAGATTCAAGATGAGGATGATAGCGACGAACTCTATGAGGCGGCGAAAAGAAACCTCGTGAAGCCTACAGTTCCGACCCCAAGTCACAACAGCTTGCCTGCACAATCCCGCGAGATCAGCGGAAGTCGAGCTACATCACGGCCTCATGGTTCTGAGTTCGCATCACGAGTGAAGCGGGAGCCACGTGAGCGCTCACAGTCAAGTTCAGACGGCGACATGCACCTTCCTGGAGCCTATCCACGCTCAACCACGTTACGCACGCCAGTCCGGAAACCCTCAGGCCAATCATCCTCTGTCAACCAGACTCCAAGGCTGTTGGCCAGAGACACGCCACGGTCAGCGAGCATCAACAAACAGCCTGCGCCTTTGATAAAGACCTGCACAGTGTGTCACGAACAGATAGTGGACGTGAATGCGCCCTGCGTTTCTCATTCTGGGAAGAGGTACAGGCCACCGGGCGGGTCAATAAAATGGGACTGCTGTCAGGCAGACATTGATGATCCCGGTTGCGAGTTCAACGGGCAACATACGACTGAAGAAGGGCTCGAAGAAGACGCGTTGGTACAAAGGAAACGACCAAGTGCGTCTCCGGTTCCAAGTCGTGCCACACAAAAGAGACCCAGAGCATTCTAGCGAAACTGTTAGGGGTTTGCCAGGCAGTTGGTCGCTCTTTGCTTACAGCGGGACGCAATAGATCCACGCAATGGGTCCTCTTCTGCGATCGTTCTTTTTGTTCTTCAGTTCCAGTCGTCTTCGGAAGACACTTCGCACGTCATTAGTTCATTGCTAGAAGCATAGCGTAGGCGTTTCGTTACTAGGCAGCATCGATATGGCTGCGGAGATCTCAGGCAGCTGCATTACAAAGACTTGTGTCCGTTCTTGATGAGCATGTGCATCACTAAGCCTGCGTTGCCCTTCCTGATTTTCACGAATCTGGCCTCGAAAACTCCACCATTGTCTCTAGGGCCCCAAACTGTTCACCTTCCCATCATGGCCAGCGATTACTCCCGTCGCTTCTCGTGTTCCGGTGCAGGTCTACGCTTCAGGAGACTGTGCCTCACCGTTGTTCTGAAACCCATACACATCTCTTCCAATCCCTAATCTGATGCTTATGACGCGACGGCCACTATTTCTGTTGAGTCACTGCATGCAAGAAACAATCCGACCAGGTCTGCAAATTACATCAAGATTAAAATATGCAAAGTAGGTAACCTAACCTTAATGTAGACTCTAGGGTGTTTATCTTTTTCCTAAGCCGACGTGGAGCGCTCAAGAGGCTAAGAGGATACTGCGAACTGATGGTCCTTTATGCCAATCGTTCATCTGTAGACACGTCTCCAATAGTCTTCGTTCTGAATTCGCTGTGAGCTAGACAACGACCCTTAGTATTCTGCAAGTGTTATCATTACAGGCGGGCAATTTGTCAGTGAATTAGCGGATGTTGCTTGACCGTTATCTCTACGATGCCTATTCTGACTCGTTCCTCACGCGTGACGTCATGCCAAGTGTCTTGCCTGCATTATCATCGTCGCGCTAACCTCCATCTCTCCCACTTCTGCACCCGCCGTCAGGACGCGATAGACATGTAACGGACATACGCACTTTGCGTTCCAGAAAACACGATACCAAGCCGAAGATGCATTGGTATAAAGCTGACAGGTTGCCTCATGAGCATTGCCCCACGAAGTCCGCGCGCCGCACATCATGAAGGCCGCGCTGTTCCTATCGCTTGCAGCTCTTGTCAGAGCGAGTACGGTTTTCCAACTCAACTCTACGTCGTATTATTCTCCAGATCTTACCGCAGCGACGCTTAGCTTTGGCGACCAGTCAAGTCCCAACGCAGAGCCTTTGCCAATCACTTATCTGACCTTTTCGGACCCTATTGTCACCGCGGAGCTACTGGAGTTCACGATATCCTCATTTCTATCGCACGACGATGTATACTCGGAATCATTCCTCCATACACTAGTGCTTGGCGGTTCAAGCACTCTTTCAGACAATGCACATGCATATCTTGGCTCGATCGGGTGCAGCATGATCTACACTGCGTTGGACGCCGGCGTAGCATCCGGCCCATATCTACTTCACCCATCAAAGGCTATCACCAAAGTCTACCGGTTGTATTGGGATCACAGTTTCGCTTTTGTGGAGTCGGTCA